TGGTGATGACGTAATTGTTGAGTAGACCTGATGTTTGTGTTTTGTGTGATCGCGTCGTATGAATGGTCTTAATATGGAGTCCAATGACTGTGTGATTGACTGCAGTGTTGAGTGTTGTGTACATTGAGTGCCAATTGAGTGCCCAATGAGTGTCTGTTTGTCGCGCAATGATCGGGAAATGCATTGAAAGAGTGAACCACTGATTGGTTTGCATTGCGTTTGCCGTCACCTGAGGACCAGATGCTATGAAGTGGTGATCGCATCCATTGGTGGACACAACGGGTGTTGTGAAGAGAGTGGCAGTGGAAGTGTTCACTCAAGTGACCATACCATGAATGGTGTGAACAGTATCTGCGACTCAGTCGCCAATCAATGGCCGGAAGCGCCCGATCTTCAGTTGGACTGTTTGTCCAGTGATTCCGACTCCGACTCGAGTAGTGTTGAGGTTGTGGTCAATGAGAACAATAAGCAGTCGTTCGGTGAGGCGATGGGCGCCGACATGCGTGACATACATGAGCCCAAAGCTGGTCCGTCGCATGACTTGACGGCCGCCTTAGGGGCCAAACGAGACCAACCGCTCAGCTCTTCGGCCGCCATTTTAGTGGATTTGACGCAATCGGACGACGAGTCGGCCATTGAGTCCAGTGCTAAGCCACTGAAGAGCAGTCGGACGACCAGTGCGTCGACCACTCAGACGATGGGTGGGAAGCGTGTGGCCGACCATCACCGGCACAGTCGCGACCACAACGACCTCAACCACTCCCGCAGTTCTTGCATCCAATTGGCGCCACCACTGCTGCCCAATGCGTCCCAACAGCACATGAACTCAAATATATTTAATTCAAATTATCAACAATTAATGCCTGAATACCAGAGCTGTCGATATCATAACCAAAACATGAGTAATAATGTTATGAACAGTAATATGAATAATAATTATCTCAATAATAGTAATCATAATATGACTAATAATGCAAACAATGGTAATCTGAATGTCAATCCAAACCCCAATCCCAACGTTAGTTCCGTTCAAAACTACGGCCAAATGGGCGCCAATTCAGACCCGTTTACGCCTAATGTGATTGACTTAACGCCATTCAACTGCAACTTCACCAACAACTCGATGAATGCCAATAACAACATGACATCCATGGCCTCGACAGTCCAGTGCCCACACAATCACGGCTTCTATTCGGCGAATACTAGTCCTATAAATAACACACATTTGACTTATATTCCAAACATACCCTCAATGCCTTCTATACCATCCATACCCCCGATGGCACCCAATATACCTCCAAACGGCTCCAATGTGTCACAGTATGGCCAGTACTTCAGTCCACCGCCGGCCCACCTCCCGCTCCACCCCTACTCAATACATCCGCATTCGCGCCTCCATCCCAACCAACAACGGCTTTGGGTCGCACAACAGCGCATGAATGAGATGCAGAGACAGCGACAGTCCCTCTATCAGCACCAGATGTTCGTCAGGTATGTCCACATATTGCCCACTCTATTGGCCACCACTTGAATCCATACCAATTGATGTGATTTCTATTGACAGACAACATGAGGCCTATCAAAGACATCTGTTGGAGTCATCGCACGTGCCAATGGCACCGATGGCACCGTTCGTGTCCGTGGGTCAGCCACAGCCACCCTCTACTCCTTCGGCCACTTCGGGAATATTTGTGTGCAGTTCGGATGCAAACCTTCCCCTAAACCTAACGCCACACCATAACCACAATTCCAGTCCAAACATGAGTGTGGGTGCGCTCAACGCTAACATTCCGCAAACGTCGACCCCTTCCGGTCTGACGAACGACACGACGTGTCACATGTCGACCAGTGGGTCGTGCAGTCGTCCGCAACATTCACCTCCACCTCAAAACCCCCAGCGATTGGTCGGCATGACTAACATGTATACTCCTAACCCACCACCAAATGGTCCAAACCTACAGACGGGCGCACATCACTTGTCGGCCGAAGTTCTCGTTGACCCTAACGGCGCGTTTCAGAGCGAAGTTATCATACACTCGACGCCCGACACCGCACATTCCCATCTCCATCATCACGTCCATCAGCACCACTACCACCCGACAGCACATCCACCGAGACTTCACTTTGGAGTCTCTCCGCCCGGTTTCCATATATCTATATCTCCCGCAGGAATTGTTGCGCCGGTATGTCATTGAGTTATAGTTGGTTTATCACTTGTATTAAGCGATCTATTTTGTGTGGTATAGCCATACGGTCCCCGTTCGGGTGACGTATACGCGCCACTGCCGCCTCCTTTGGCTGACTTCCACCAAAGCTATCACTATATCGGACCTCTACTGTCACGACACATGACAGCCCGTCTGGACGAGTACTGGCGTCTGATGCAAACGCGACACTCGATGAATAGGGGCGCCTCACAGACCATAATCGAGAGAAACACTTTTCCGCATAAATATAAACGAATTAAATTAAGTACTCCTGAGGACGACTGTACGGAGAAGTGTACCATTTGTTTGAGTGAATTCGAGGACAACGAAGATGTCAGGTATGATCCATACTAATGGCAAATGTATTGATTCATTCATTCATTCACTTATTGGTTTGTTTTCTATGTGATCTGTAGGCGCCTGCCATGTATGCATCTGTTCCATATCGAGTGTGTAGACCAGTGGTTGACAACCAACAAGCGGTGTCCCATCTGTCGCGTTGACATTGAAGACCACATGAAGGACTTTGGCCTCAATTCGTGACCCTTTGGTCTCAATTATTCCAATCTTTAGCTCAAATCTAAACTGTTTTTGAGTTTTTTGTTAATATTATATTTCGATGAGTTGTGTATTTATGAGAATTGTATCACTTATAAGGTTCTGTATGTCTGGACTTTTGAATCATGTGCTGCTTTACCATTCAATTATTCAATCCTTAATCGATGGCATTATCTGCTCAACAATTATTACAATTATTATTATTTTTCTAAAATAGTTAACCTATAGATGTGTTATAATAACAATTCGAGTGATTTGTTTTTGGGGCCACAAAACCGATTTCATTGCATCCTATTCTGCGATAGTTTTTCTATATTTTTGTGGCTTTTTATGACTAATTTTGTTATTTTTAACTTCAATTCAATTGAAAACAATTGATAAAGCAATTAACAAATCATTTGTTTCATTTTGGTATATAATTCACAAATGAATTCTTCGAGAATTTCATTCAATTTTATATTAAGCAAGAATTTTACTCAAAATCCCAACTATTTATAGAAAGAGTGCAAACAAACGATTTTTAATATCATTTTTAAATTATATATAAATGAGTTTATATATAGTATTAATTAAATTAATTTAATTCCGTTTAATTGCTTTGGATAATCTTTAATTTAATTATTATGTCTTTTAATCAATTGATGTTATTTTAAATCATTTTTAGAAATTAAATATAATGTTGAGTTCCTAACTCTCAAATCAATTTAAAATAAAATAATAAAAGACTTTATTTCAAACTAATCTCATTTACGACAATATTTTTTATCAACTTCTCTAATATGGACCACTTTTTGGTAAGAATTGCTATTAACTGTTATAAACTGTTGATTATGGATTTAAATAAACGTGTGATCAACAAAAAATAAATGAAATTTATAGTTTTAAAAGATAAGATTAATTGCCAATTAATAATTGGTGTCTAAAATGTATTAACTATTTATAAGAATTGGTGTAAAGAATATGAAAAGTAGTAAGAATTGAATGAATGAATGCCTGCATTGAAGGCTACATAGAGGCCACCCATGCGTGCAATGCTTGTGTTGTTTACATCACATGTCACTCACGATTGACAACAAGCAGTGAACACAACTTCTTAGCCATTATCTGCTCATACCATGGATGAGGAATCAGTCAAACTGTCCAAACTCTTTGACAAAGGGTTCAATTTACATCTTGAGTTAAAAGACTCCACTCTTTCCACTAATGACAGACCATTTCAGGTATTGATTATCAATGACTCGCAAATATTTTCCACTAATTGTCTCGTGAATTGAATCCGAAGACTAAGGTTTCGGAAGCGATTCGAGCGCTGGAAGAGTCGACAGGTTTGGTGAACGAGTTGTCACTCTTCAGCTCCAATGAGTCGGTCGAAGAGATTGCCACCAAAAACGTGAAATACCTGTTACTGCCGGCGCTGTTGGCCGACCTGACACTCATGTCTCAAACCACCCAACGATCAGAAGTACTGAAAACCGCGGAAATCTATTTCAATGATTTTATTCAACGATTAAATGATTACCAAATCTGTGACATCGATATCAAACGCACCGACAGCTCGTCTGAAGACAAACAAGTGGTGTCTTCTTCGAGGGAACCATCACTTGATTCGGCAGTTTTCAACAGAAACGACAAAATTAGGAGATATAAAGAGGGGAAACAGATGGACAACAGATTAATTGAATTGAGACAACGAATGGCACAAACAGATGAAGACATAGACGACGAAGTTCTTCGAGACTATTACTTAACACTTCTTAAACGTTGGATCAGTCTCTCGTTGGAGGAGTTGAGTGCTATTGAGACTGAAAAACCTATTTTAGAGCACATGAAGCTCATGAAGGCCTCCAACAAAGACGGCAGACCTCGTGGCAAACCGACCGCATCTCCTAAACTCAAACCAATTATTATCACCAGAAATGAGATGCAGAAGAAGGTGTATGGTTTGGGTTATCCCAGTCTCCCGACTGTTAGTATCGATGACTTTATCACTCAGAAGGTAGACGAGGGAAGTCTTGCTATCACTAAATCTAATCCAATGTAAGATTGATTTGATTGATTTGAAGATTTAAGTTTTATAAATGTTTTTAATGATTGATTTTGGACACAAAGATATGATAACTATCTTATGGATTGGGCTGAGAATCCCGATAAGAAACGTATGGAAGACGAGACGGAAGAGGAGAGAAAGGAGATTCTGGTCGAGAGAGACAATCCACAGGCGTTGAGAAGAGCCCGTGAAATGGATGACTGGAAAGACGGTATTGTGCTTTGCGTTCACTTTAGCATTCATTCACTTAATTATAACATTTGAATATCTGTTTGAATTCAGTTCATAAGCGAGGGGAAGGAAACCGAAAGAATATGGGATAAGAGATGTCACACATTGTGATGGATATTATATTCTTGTTAATTAAAACTTATATTCTTTGGAAACTTCTTATCCTTTTACGTGTTTCTTATGATATTTATTGCCAACAATTGTGAATCATTTAGTTTTTAAGAAAACTATTACAATAGTCTATAAAAGAGAAGGTCATTCATTAATTGCTGCAATCATTCATACCATTCCCTACGGCTATACTCTCTTTTAATATTAAATAAATAGTCAAATCTGTAAACATTTGTTCATTAATTTCTTTGTTTTATGAAATGTCTTCTTGAATAAAATAAACATTTCTGAAGCATTCATTGTTTGTTAAACTTATGCTTATTTGTCAAAAATTGTATTATTTTTATAAATTCTTTAATCATTAATAAAATGTCAAGAATTTCTTTAATATTTATTTTGTTTTCTTATATTACAATAATTGAATGCAAACATAAGCGACAAGGTAAAGTAACCGGTGTAATTATATTTGCAACTGATATCCATTGATTAAATATTAGTTGACTTTCCCGTTGAGGAAACCGAGAGCTGTATTACACCCGACGGTAAGACTGGTATTTGTGAGCCGTTAGTCCGATGCGACCAACTGTTGTCTTCGAGGAATTTAAAAGTGTTGCGACAATCCATCTGTGGATACGATAACGAAGTGCCAAATGTTTGCTGTCCTATCGCCAAGAAAGTTACCCAGAGTATTGCCAAACCCAGACCTACCAGACCCCCAACCAAACGACCAAAAGCTCCGAAAACTAGACCAACTTTAAGGGCAACCACTTCCATGCCTAGGGATGTAATCAATGATCAGCCGAGTGGTCCTAATTCAGGACTGAGACCACGAAAATTACCAGAATGTGAGTTCAGTTTAAAATAATACATTGAAATTTTAATTTAGCTTTAATTAACTTAAAACTTTCAATTAACTTTAAATTTTAATTTATTTAAAGTTTGTGGAAATACAAGTATCATTGGTAAAACACGCATTGTTGGTGGGAAAGTGTCCCATCCCGGTGCCTGGCCATGGATGGTATGAAAACAAGTGTTCAAATGAATATATTATTTCATACACTCTATTTGACATAAGGCGGCAGTTTTCATAGAGGATTCCGATAACCAAGGCTCTTTTATCGCTCAATGCGGAGGTGCATTGATCTCGGAGCAAGAAATCATAACTGCATCCCATTGTGTGGTAGAAGGGGGTCAGGTGTTGACGCCCTCGAAGATCAGAATACGGTTAGGAGAACACAATATCATGAAGAGGACCAAAGACGACGCGGAAGTCGATTACAATGTGATCAAAGTGACGGCTCATCCAGACTTTGAACCGCAAACTTATAAAAATGATGTCGCGATCATTAAACTCTCGCAACGAGTATTCATTTGTCTCAACAGTATTTCCCGTGAATCTTATAATATTTTCAATGACTAACTCAAAGGTACGTTTCAATCGACGTGTTTGGCCGATATGTCTGCCATACGACACACGAGTGTTGACTTCTGAAGAGAATGTCGGCAGAAGTGGTTTCATCATCGGTTGGGGAAGACTTGAGTTCAATGGGAAGACGAGCGAAGAGTTAAGGGAAGCCTCCATTGAGATCGTGTCCAACAATGAGTGTGGAAAGGCTTTTGACAAAGTGGTCAAAATTACTGATGAGTACCTGTGCGCTGGAACTACTGGATCGACAAAAGATAGTTGTCAGGTAAATTAACCTAAATCAACCTAATTAGCCTAAAAAATTAACCTAAATTGTCAGGGAGACTCTGGCGGACCTCTCATTCAAGTAGATCCGGAAAATAAGAAATACTATTTAACAGGAATTGTCTCATTTGGAAAACGGTATGTCTCCATACATTCATGCAATTAATAATATATATGAAACATCTACAGGTGTGCCACCCCTGGCTTTCCCGGGGTCTATGCGAGAGTCTCTCATTTCTTATTGTGGATGGCAAAGAATATTTGAGACAAATGTGTTTTTTTTTGTTTATTTGAATTGCAGATCATATAAACATTTGGATCGTAAAACAAATAGAGGAATAAAACAAGAATATTCCTATTATTGTGAGAAATGACTGAATGCTCTAATGACAGTGTTTATACATAAAAATAATTTATAAAGTTAGTATACACCATGTTAATAAATTATAATGATTATTATACTATTTATAAGAAAAGCTATATATTTTAATTTGGCAATCGATTATTAAATAATTACATGTATTATTAAAGGAGCAAATGTTTAGATTTCGAGTGCATTCTTTGTATTAGAAATTTATTTATAAACATATTTATAATATTTCCCATAACTATTCTGTGTCAGATATAAAATATATTTTTTTGATCGATAATATTGAGTGAAAGACTATTGACTATACACTTGTGTTATACTTATAGAACATTATCTTATTTCCCAATTCATAGTCTACTCCAACTATAGAATCGGAATAATACTAGAGTTACTTATGAATACTACTTTATAAATATAATTAAAAGCTACTCTAAAAATCAATAAAATCATTATTTAAGACATTCTGTACAGTATATAAGTTATTGTGAACATTACAAAAAATACAAAAACAAATTAATACTTGTAATTTTATTTAATGCTGTATCAGATAATTATTAATATTTGTCAAAGAAAAATATTGTAATTTCGAGTACAGTAATAAACATAAAATACATAATATTAAACTTGAACATTAAATAAATATTCTCAAAAGGACATTAACTATTGTAATGTGATTATATTTTTTCAAAAAGTTAATTGTAAAATTATGTTTAAAAATTATATTTAAGTTTTTATAAGAATAATTGAAAGATCATTCATTTGTTTATCAAAGTTTGAAATAAGTACGGCACTCAAGTTTTATTGATTGCATATAAATAGTTGTCTGAATCTGCTCTCATCACAGGTATACCTCAATCGTCAAGAATTTTGGTCAATCATTTCAACAAGGTTTGTTATATTTATTACAACTAACTTAATCATAAGAATTTCCATTTTTCTTTACATATTTTTATTTATATTCCTATCGCGAAGTACTAGTTATATAACTAAACAATTGACAATATTGTATTGCTGTATTGTGTAATATAATGAATAAGTATAATTAAATTGTGTAATATATCAACACAAATGAAATAAAACCCAAAAAAATTCAAAAAGTAAATTAATTTTTCAATTGAATTGAGAATATAAGGCAGAAATATAAGTAAGTATTGATTTGTTGGGCACTTATAGCCAACAGAATATTGTTTTGTGATATTCAGTGACAGGCAGTGAGATATTATAGTGAGGCAAATGTGAGCCCAGGGAGGGAAAGGTATGTTTATCTAGCGTCCTTTTAAATGAATTGTGTGTTTGTTTTGATATTATATTTTGATTGAATTTGTTTGCCATCAAATGTCAAACATATGATAGAAAAGTGTTTTTAAGGCAAAATTAGTTCAAATAATACATTATAACAATTTAGACATTTATTGATTAGTTTTTATAGTATTATATTCATTGATATAATACCAAAACATATCATAAATTTATATTATAATAAAATATATGATTATATGAAATGTCGTCTAATTTCTCATTAAAACTTCATAAATGACTTCAAAAGACGTGAAAAATCAATACAAAAACTCAAATGCTTTTCATTGCAAACAATATCTGTTTTGAATTCAATTTATAAACATTTCTCTTATAATTAGCTATCATTTGAAACACATATTCCTCACGAAAAGACCACTTCATAAGTTGTGTCTCATTTGTTCACACCTGTTGTCCATCCATAACCTCGATGTCGATATCCCACCAAATACTGGACGGCCACACAAGTGACGTGAATTGGGTGGACTTCACGGGAACCAAACTCCTGGTCAGTGCCAGCAATGACAAGACCGTCCGGCTCTGGGAGTCCGATGACAGCGGACTCTTCAAGCAGATCTCACTGTCACCACTGGTTGGCCACCACTACGGTGTCAATTGTGTGCGATTCTCACCCTTTGGCACAATCATAGCCTCGGGATCCACTGATGGCAACATTATCTTATGGAACACTCACGTATGACAATCACCCGACCCTTCCGTATATCATATACGAGTATCTCATGTGATAGACAGGGGAACAGGTGGTGAAACTGACGCACGACAGCGGCGGTGGTATCAGAGTCTGTAGTTTTTCGCCCTCTTCGTCAATGCTGGCATCGGGTGGTGATGATGAGAGCTTGGTCATTTGGGACATTAGCACCCGGTCTATGATTAGGTACACCATATTCACTCATAACCCGTGTTTCACTAACAAGAGTGGTGTTCAGATCACTTGCAGATCACGAGGCGATGATCACTGCCTGCACTTTCAGTCCCGACAGTTGTTACCTAATCTCGGGGTCGTCTGCGGGTGACCTCAAGCTGTGGGACTCGAAGTACGGACATGCCAAGTGTTTGTTCACGACGGCTGAAGCCCATGATTTGGGTGTTTTAGGCTGTGATTTCAGCTCACAATACGAAGTGAATGGTAACTAAACATACAGTATATTTGTTATCAATTCATGTGACACTTGAACTGATAATTGAATTTGTGATACAAGTGTCGGACGGTCCGCTTCAGAGTTTCTATCTGTTGGCCTCCTGTGGTAACGACGATCTGGTGAGACATGATTTGGGATATTAGACTAATGATAAACCCCTTATTTATCGGATACAATGATTCTGAACAATGATTAACAGGTGAAGCTGTGGCACGTGAGGGGTGGCCTCAAGTCAACCATAACTCTCTCGCATTCCCTGAAAGGCCACAACGGGAACGTGAATTGTTGTCGTTTTAATACTGACGGATCACTTCTAGCCTCAGCGTACAGATTCATACCATTTATTCAATACTTGATACTAATTGTATGTTTCATGTGATTGTCAGCGCCGGTGATAAGTTGGTGATCATATGGAACCCACAAAATGGAGTTCTTGTGCATAAACTCGAGGGTCATTCGAGATATGTCACGTCTTGTGTAATATGATCACTGAATTGAATATAAAACTAAATATAATTCATACGAAACACTTCTAAACAAAATTCATAGGCTTTTTCTTCGGACAATAAATACTTGGCCACCGGTTCTAACGATAAGACAGTTATTGTTTGGAATATGTCAGACATGAAGGACAGGGATGTGATTATTACAAAAAACGGATCGTTGGACGAGTCGTCGGCGATGATAGCCTCGGGAAGTAATATCGTCTCCGATTGGACTCTCAATGATGTAATCGTTTGGTTGGAAAGACTTGATTTGGGGAAATACAGCTCAGTCTTCAGGGAGAACTCTATCGATGGCATAGAATTGGTTCACTTGACTAATGATAGCCTTTTGACTGCACTTAAAATTGGTATTCAATTGATTATTAATTATGATTTCATGACTAATATGTAGGTATTCTGTCCTCAGATTCTTTGGGCCACAGGAATAAAATCCTGAGAGGAATACAAGCGCTGAAGAACCCGTTGTGGCAACACATCAACGATGACGCGGAAGACAACTCTTCAATGCCTAACGAACTCTGTTGTCCCATCACTCACGAGATAATGAAGGAACCGGTGGTCGCCGCGGGTCTGTCCTTATTCTTACAATCCTTTTCAATAATCATTTATTATTCAATAACCCAAACAGACGGCTATACATACGAAAGGGAAGCGATCACTGAATGGATCAATAACGGCAACTCTACCAGTCCTATGACCAATGAAGTGATGATTAATGAGTTACTTCTGCCGAATCTAAACCTCAAAACATTGATTCAAAAGTATTTATCAAAATAAATATCGGAAACTCTTCTGTGATATACTACTCAAGACATGAAATGTGGTCCAAAACTCTCTTTACGTTTATATTTAGTTATGTTTTATTTGTTATCAAATATTTCAGTATTTTATAATATTTGCAGAATTTTAATTTAATTTTAATTTAAATTCTGTATTATTTCAGCATTTATTCACTCAAAACTTTTATCATTAAATTAATTGTGTTCAGAATACGTCTAAAATAATTACGGAATATGGTTTGTTATCAAGAACATTTTCGTTGTTGATGAATAAAAGTGTTTAAAACAGAAAATAACATTGATACATTTGGTATTGTTTGAAACTACAGCTAAAATGTATGATTTACTTGTCATTAAATTATAAACTAAATTCATTGCCAAATGAAACAATTAGTGAGACATTGAGTGCCATCTGTTGACACATGTTGTGCGGGAAAGCATTGCATCAGAAATGCTTTCAGCCATTGGTTTACCATTGAATCGATGGTCGCATTGAATATCTGTCACAACACTGAACACATCCACTGAAGACACCATCAAACACGTGAACACGTGACTCATCCCAAGACATGTCAGACGGTCTAAATCGGGCCGAACTGATCTCAATCTTCATAAGGGCTGGAATATTAGGCATCTGTTCATACTTTGCGGTCAAATGGATGGTCAATACATTAGATCCGACGAGAAAACAGAAACGGGAGGCACAGCAACGGGTATTACCATTGATAACACATCCTATATCTGTTGAATGTCATCTCTAGCCCATGTATGCCATGCCCTCTTAGGCGGAACGCCTACTATCTCGCCTGGGAGTGACTGATCTGAAGGCCTCACTGAATGAGTACGAGCTGTCAATAGCGGCCCAATTGGTGGACCCGCAGAGCATAGACGTGACCTGGAGTGACATCGCAGGCCTCGAGGACGTGATTGAAGACATTAAGGCGACTGTCATTCTGCCGATACGGACACCGGAGCTGTTCGTGCGCTCGGAGTTGCATCAGCCGCCCAAAGGAGTCCTCCTTCACGGGCCGCCCGGTTGTGGCAAAACGATGATCGCGAAGGCGACGGCCAAGGAGGCGGGCGCTCGGTT